GTGTGGGTGTGGGGGTGTGGGTGTGTTTTGGTGGGTGTGTGTGTGTGTGTGTGTGTTTTGTGTGTGTGTGTGCGCGCGTGCGCGTGTGCGTGCGTGTGTGCGTGCGTGCGCATGCGTGTGCGCGTGCCTGCTTGTGTGTGCGTGTGTTTGTGTGTGTGTGTGCGCGTGCCGGTCTGCCTCTCAATCTGCATGCATGCGCGCATGCATAGACAGAGCGATAGATAGATTCATGGACAGACAAAAAAGAAGGTTGATAAGTAGGAAAGTAGATAGGTGGATAGGCTAGATAGGTAGATATGTAAGACAGGCAGACAGGTATAGCGATAGACAGATAGATAGACAGACAGATAGATAGGCAGATAGGTAGGATGGGTAGACACGTAGGTAGATGGATAGATAGATAGAAAGGTAGGTAGGCAGATACATAGAAAGATGAACTCATAGACAGATGTATTGGGTAGATAGATGGACGAGTAGATAGCGCGATAGAGGTAGAGAGAGGGAGCTAGAGACGGACAGCGAAAGATAAATATGTAGGTAGACGGAAGGGTAGGTAATATAAGTAGATAGGTGGACAAGTAAACAAGTAGATGAGATAGGCAGTTAGATAGATGATAGATAGAATAGGTAGGTAAACTGATAGATAGATAGATAGATAGATAGACAGATAGGTAGATAGATAGGTAGATTGATAAATAGACAAATAGATAGATAGACAGATAGATAGATAGATAGAGAGATAGATAGAGAGAGAGAGGAGATAGATAGATAAGTAGATAGAGAGATAGATAGATAGATAGATAGATAGGAAAGATGGGTAGACAGGTAGGTAGATAGATAGATACGTAAGTAGGTAGATAGATAGATAGATAGAAGATGGACGAACAGATAGATGGACAGCTGTGCTGGATAGATAGGTAGGTAGATACATAGAAAGATAGATAGATACATAAGCATATGCATAGATAGATAAATAAATATATATATATATAGATAGATAGACAGATAGATAGATAGACAGACAAGCAGACAGGTTGATATGTAGATTGACGGATATGCATAGATAAACATACATAGAGAAAGGTTTTAATAGGTGGAGATAGATAGACAGTTAGATAGATAGACAGATAGATAGGTAGAAATGGATAGATTGATTGATTGACTGACTGACTGATTGCTTACTGCTAGCTAGCTAGCTAGCTAGCTAGCTAGCCAGCTATGTAGGTAGGTAGGTAGGTAGCTAGCTAGCTAGCACTAGTAGCTACAACTAGGGCAAATATGCGAAAATCGATCCAACTATCTCGTCCCATGCGTCTGCATCATGTATGTGTGTGTTTGTCTGTGACTGGGGTTCGTTTCTATTCTTGAAGAAACTATTCTCTAAACTGTATGTGGTGTGGAAAGCTCTCTAAAGCGTATGTCGGCAAAGAGCAGGCGGCCAAACCTAATCCGGTGTCGGGACAGAAGTGTCTCCTAGGTGTAGGTGCGCGCATGTATGTATGTATGTATGCATGCATGTATGCATGTATGTATGTATGTATGTATGTATGTATATATGTATGTATGTATGTATGTATGTATCTGTGTGTGTGTGTCAACCCTTTTCCCAACCAATTGCCCACGCCGGGCGGCAGCCAGCTCTTCCACCTGGACAGTGGGCTGTGAGTAAGTAGCACTATGACTCGCCTTGGCTGGAAGTGCTCAAAGACGAAACCCCGATGCTGACACCCAGAGCTGGCAAGATGCACTGAGCCGTCTCTCTTTCTCTGACCTGGCCTTAGGCTCCATGAGGAAACACGGTCCACACATTGACGAGGAGAACATAGCCTGAAGGCGTCGGCTTTCTCTGGTAGTTTGAGGCAGTGCCGGGTCGGGAGTATGGCCGTAGGAGGAAATCAGATTCCGAACCGGTACAGGTAGAGCAATGTCGTTGGTGGGAAGATGTTTGAGACTTGACCTCCGACTCTGAATCGCAACTCAGCTGCTACCGTCAACGAGCCGTTGAGGTTTGCGACAAAGTCTTCCCTCGTGTCGCAAGAGAGAATAGCACCTTCCCAGGCTGGCACGGCAGTAAGGTTTGGAGGCTTGCCGCAGATGATTGCTCAGTCACGGCCGGATTTCTCCCGAAACTCTATGCAAAGTCCGGAGCCAACAATAGCTGCCCGGCAAATCTGGCCTTCGCCGGCCCCTCTGGCAACCAGAGCTTTGATCCTGCCTCTGAAACGATTATGTCCGGTTTCTGGCGAGTGGCAAGAGGCAGCACTCTTAACTGCCACTGCCCTGCCTGGCAAGTTTAGTCCCAGGTTGATGAAGCTGAAGCTCGATTGGGAAAACGCCTCAGCTGCACCGTGACACAGATCCTTGTTGCAAGCGGCACTGGAATCTTGTTCTGTCTAAATCCCAATGCCAGCAGTCCGAGCGGCCGCAAAGAGCACCAAGCAAAAGCTGGCCAAGCAGCGTCGACGCACCATGGAGCTCCTGACTGGCCCAAGCACAAAAAAAGCAAGAGAACCCGCCTACATTCACTTATCTTTTAGAACATTGCCCGGCCTGTGCTGCATTTGCGCTGCTGCCAGATGCCACGTGTTTATGGCCAAAAGCTTCTTGCTCGAGCCAGTACAGGCACAGACTGCTGGTGTACAGCATGCCGGAGGGGAGAGCTAGCAGCTGTGTACTGACAAAACCAGCCTTCAAGAGTCTTCGTGCATCTAAAGTGACTGTAACTATAAAACAGTGAGTGCTACTGTACTGCTGGCAATGCAAAGGCCCCGACCATCAGAGAAGCGCCAGTGAAGCTGCAGGCAACCATCGCCAACAGCTGTCTGTGTTGCAGCATGACAGCCGAATTCTGGCAGGAATGCCAGGATTTTCACCTTGCCACGGCCGTCTGGCTGTGCTGGCACAAAGACTTTGCCTCCGACGTGTGGCAAAGGATAAAAAGCCGAGGCCGCTTCAGGACCCCCACTGAGCAAACAACAGGTCACCTGTGGCGAGTGCACTGCCAAGGCATGCACGAAGATCCCGACCACCTGACCATGCCCCGAATGCCCCAAACCCTGTCCACCAGGCACCTCCACAGGTTCCAACGCCGGAACGCATACCCCCAAGACAGGCCGGGCAATATCAACATGTAGAACTGTCAAGCACAATCGCAGCACAATCGTATGGTCCCCCAAGGGCAGCGTAATAACCTTGTCGTCGCCGGCCCGAAGCCGCAGCGCTAGGATATCCACGAGACAGTCCGTGTCGGGCCGCAACTCATCCCAGGTAGTTGCCTCTCTGCCGGTTTCTGAAACCTTCCACACAGATCGGCCAACTATCCGAAGAGGGTCTGAAAGGCAAACCTCAGTGCAATCTCCAATGCGACTGATGTGGAAGATCGTGTCCTTTGCATTGTCTCCGGACAAGGAGAAGCAGCCGGAAGGCACGCTGAACACGACTGGCAGCTGCAAGGTGGGTGGTGCTGCCAACAGGGTAATTCGAATGCTAATGCCACCGGCATGTGACCGCGGTCTCAGGAACTCTGCTGGAAAGAAGCGGAGGTGCATGGCGACGGAGACTTCTGCGCCGGGCATCTTGAGCAGTACCGGGTCTGGATGTGCCTCCGTAAACATGTTGCATGGCCCTCTTGGGCCCCTCATCTTTGAAAGGCGCTGGATGCAGCTTCCTTCCCAGCCCACCTCCCTAGATGTCGCACGAATGCTGAAGAGGAGATCCCTTTCCACCACGAACAATTGCTTATGTCGCCAGTGCATCCACGTACGATGATTCCCCACTCCCTCCTCCTCTTGCACGTGCCAGCTCACGAAACTGCTGGAAGGGCACAACCGCCCCCGGTCGTCAGGAGGTCCTGCAGCTGCTTCAAGAGACCACGGACTGCCCCGAGGCCCCGGATCCCTGATCTCCGGAGAAAAACGTAAGACTCCACACCAGTCCACAGGGTGAGACAGCTCGGGGAAATCCGCATCTTCCGCAAGCGCTGGCGGACCTGGGCCGGCCGGGCCGGCACTGCAAACCCAAAAGCTGAGCACCCCGTATCCGCCGGGAGCCCCTTCAAGGCTCTGTCGGAAGGAGAGCCGGTGCTGATAGGCCAAAGGTGCAAGTTCCTCTTTGAGCCGCACATAACCGAAACAGAACGGGGCTCCTACACGCGGTTGCAGGGGGTCGGCATCCACCAGCATGATCGTGAGTTCTGAGTTGCCCGGATAGAAGTTGGGGGTTTGGAGGGGGAATGAAGGCCAGCGTGGCCCTGGGAAGCTTCTTTGGCTCTGTGAGGGCCTGCCATATGGTAGCCCATCCACCAGGGTCTGCAGGGCCACTAAGCCACATGTGCCAAGCTCATGCTCCCTTGGACAGAGGTCGCTTGTCTCGATGTCCGCCAGGAAGATCCTGCATTCGACAAGGCATGGCCAGGCCAGAGTACTTAGCTACTGTTGCCTGTGCGATGCACACCTATACCTCATGCATGCAGTTTGATAAAGACAGATAAATTTGGAAGTTGGAACACCCATGAATGAGTTATCAAGTGAGACCTTGCCAAAACGATTGAAATCAGTGCAGTTCTTCGCTTATAGTCCATAGTTGCGATGTTGAGTTCAAGGTCACGAATGTTGCAGTTATACTTTTGCAAAGCTACATGTTTCACGTCGCACCTCGTAAGTGGTGTTGCCATCTTCGCTCACCCGGCCAGCCCATGCCATCACGCCAGGTGGCTCACATGGAGTGCAACTATGCTATGAGTTTTTGGGCTATGTGTGCCGCCAGAACTAGACTCCTTGCTTGGGCTCCCTGGGTCCTCAGGAGTGCTTGTCCTAACCACCGCAACTCCGAAAAAAACAGGGGACGAACTCAAACGCCGCGGAGCTGCGCTGCAAGTAGTGCTGCACCTGGCTTTTGACTCCAGTGGCGCCAATTTGTCTGGTGCTGTGGCGGATGCCACATCAAATTAGCTGTTTTGCCGTGGCGACTGGGCTGCTCAGCAGCACCGCCAGCGACTAAACTCACGCAGAGGCACTGCTGACTGCTATCTGGTTTCTACAAGTAACAGGAGCAAAGTGGTAGCTCGAGATCGGTGAGGGCACGGTGCAGGGGTCAGAGTGCCGTCAGCATGTTACGAATTAGGCGAATTCGCTATCATACAAGTTGCAGCGTCGTACGTCTTAGGCGGACATCACGTCTTTTTGGGCCTTCACAAAGGCGCGGAGTTAAGGCGACTTCTCGGCAAATGGACGCACAAGTCTGTGTGCATACCTACTGACTTACTTACTGTGATTAAGTGCTTGCTCGCTTCAAACTACGCATCCTTCCGTGTAACCGAGTGACCTGGCAAATAACTCTGCTTGCGTTCATTGCCTGTGCGTAGGCAACTTAATCGCGCCTTAGCAGTAGTTGCATGCAATCGTCGACCTGTTTATTTCTGTGGGCTAAAGCCACCGGCTACGAACCCCCTCCCGCCCCATGAAACCACCTCAACCCCGCCTGGACTAGCAAAATCCTTGGCAAACGCTTCATCGGGCAACACGACACTCGAAACTTAAAGCTTTGAGAAGGTGCGTGCGCGCACTGCAATCGAGCCCTGGCCATGTCGCACCTGGCAAGCCCTCGCAGCCGGCAGCCACAGAAACACATCTCACATGGACTCCTTGCGCGACCGCAGACTAAGGGCACGTCGCGCCAACATCCAGTCGCACAATGGTATAGGTAATGACTGACGAATAAGTCGGATTGCATTGATCATGACCTTGCTATGTGCAAGGCAAAGAAGACACCCAGTGTGGATCACTGGATACAGCTGTCTCTAGAATGAGCTGGCCTGTCTCGCTCTCGTTCGTTGTCTGTCTCTCTCCCCCTCTCTCTCGGGCATGGGGACCGGTCAAAGGCCCCGGGCAAAAATGCCCACCCCAACGTTTTGTTGGAGTAGTGAGGCAACTCTCTCTCTCTCTCTCTCTCCCGGGCATGAGGGCCGGTCAAAGCCCCCGGGCCACTGGCCCACCCGCATGTGTGTAATGCGGGCTGAGATAACGGCGACAGGAAGTATGTATGTTCTCACTGACAAACTAGCTCCCCCAGCTTTGTTGAAGCTGCGCTCAACGAAGAAATGAAGTAAAGATAAACCAAAGCTCCAGCGCAACGTCAAACTTGTTCCCCCTGCTCAAGGCCATGGGGGCGGGAAGTGCGTCTGCAGAGAAATGCTGCTATAGACTGTCCAACACCGTTTGTATGTCACAGGAAAACAAAGCAACACCAGGACATTAAGTTCAACCAAGCAGACAAGCTAGGTGTTGGGCATCGAGAGCTTGCTCTGAAATCTGAAAAGGGGATTCCCCCGAAATGAGTGTACATTCTAATTACGAACTCGGGCGGCAGGCGGGTTGAAAAATGCAGGCCGAAGCCTACAGCAAAGGTCTTTCCCCCGACAGGAGAAATCAAAAAGGTATGTCGGCTTGGTGTCAGAAGTTGGTCCCCCTTGACTTCCTACAAGCAAAACTCACCAGCCCCCAAAGAAAACACCCCCTAAGCACATGGAAGTAAAGGCACTGCACTGTATCAAGGGACGACTTCTGCAAAGGACTTCCCCCGCAGGGCGAGCATACTCTAATTGCAACTCGGATGGCAGGCGGATTGAGCGAGGCAGGCTTATGCCCACAAACTAAAAAGTTGAGATCTAGGAGCTACAGAGCGGCAGCTTCCTAGGAGGTATACAGGTTGGCGATGACTTCTGCCGAGGCAGGTTATGGTACACTTGCTGAAAAGCGGTTTCATCCCCCGTCATATTTACAGGCCGATCGCGCAAAGGTCTTCGAAAGAGTAACACTTCAGCTTGCATGGACCTGCGATGGAAAGAAGTCCCCCGCTAAAGAAACCAAAGCAAACACCTGAAGCAGCCCAAGCGATCCCCCAAGCTGAAGAAAGTTGCAGACGAATTTGTTCCCCCGCTCACTTGTTTTTGTGCTTCACGAACTGCGGCTGGCCCGGCTGGCCGCTGGCCCTTTCGGCTCTCTCTTGTCTTCGTCGTAGTTTTCGCTGAGCACGAAAAACAAGCTTCAGGCGGCCGCTACACACACGGGGGTGGGAAGCAAGCTGGTTCCCCCATGTGTTGCGGCTCTCCCCCCACGGATCCAGGCAGTGGTCGTCTGGGTGGCAGTCGGCCCTCGGGCCATTCTGGAGTAACTGGAGCTTGCGCCCCCAGATCCATAGCTGCGGCCGTCTCCCCGGTTCCCGACCCAGCGCGACGTCGACTTCTCCGATTGCAAGGGTGACTGAGGATGTGCCGGCACGTGAGCAGCCGGAATGGGTTCTACCACCTCCAGTCCGACCGAGGGTACCTGGTGTCATCAAGAGGGGATCACACCACTACAAGCAGGTGCCGCCCGTGCAATCCCCGTGCAACCTGCGCACCCCGTGCCCGCCATAGCAAAGTCTGAACCAGACAGCCTGTCGAATGATGTGGGAACAAAACCTCGCACCACTACGATGCCAACGACTAGAACGACCCTGACGTCCAGGACAAGCTCCACAACGACAGCGTGACAGAAACCGACCATGCTGGGGGAGATTCCCTTCCGGAATCGATGGAGAGCAATGTGTGGGCACTGCTCGACCTACTACCACCTGGCTGGCAAAGGCAGGACAACCAAGGCAGGGGGCTTCATCCTTCTGCCGACGTATTCGATGACGACCTGGAAGCCTCTGTGGATGAGAAAAGCCATGACCGCGAAGTGAAATCTGAGGCGTGTGAAACCAGTACTTCATCGATGCCGCACTACCCGGAGATGGGGATGTACCCCAAACCTATGCACCCAGATGCAAAGAGGAGCGAGCCAAACGAAGCGGAAGATAAGGCATGTGAAAAGAGTACCTTTCTGGCGCCAACTCACGTAGATGCGGGCGAAACCCTAGGGCGGGCCCAAAACCACGAAAGCAGCGAGTCCGAGGAGAACGAAGGGAACAACAAGCCAGCATCGCCGGTGGGAGCACCACCGCAACTCAGTGCCCACCAGCGTTCCCGCTTACATGAGCTTCTTCAACAAAGGGATGCTCAAGGTCGTGCTCCATATGGGCTTGACAACTACGCCCACATGATCGGGGAGCCCCTCGGTGAGAACAATGGTGGCACTTTCGGGAATGATGAGCAGTGAGAGAGGCTTTTGACTACCTTTTGCCTTTGTAAAGCGGGGGAAACCCCGAGAGCAGAGTTTGTGCACCTGACAAAAAGTCCCGGTGCCCCGACATCGCTCAAACCGATCCATACCGCGTTTCTTTCTCCACTCTGATCCAGACCTTGAAGGGGGGTGAAACCCCTTAGATGTGATGTAACCCCTTTTTTCATTTGACGGGCCGCAGGAGCCATCCATACTTTCAGTTGCCGTGCCCGCGCTCGGGGCGTCAGACCCACAGATGTTTTGATTGCAATTCGTTCGCCAGGCGCCTTTTTGTCAATTCCGCAGCCTAGAGTGGGGTCACCCATGAACTCTTTGTCGGTTGGTTTTTGTTTTAGATTCTGGGCTTTTGACTTCTTGTCTACCTTTTGTTCGAAGGGGGACCATACCCAACCCTGCATAACTTTCCTGTGAGCCTTTTCCCAAGTCAGAGGTCATCTCTCTCGCCCTCTCTTTATGTATATATTACACAAACACAAACACAAACACACACACACACATGCATGCATGCATGCACATGCGCACAGATACATACATTGCATGCGTGGTTTGCAGTATAATGCATACGTTGCATGCATTAAATGTACATACATACAGCATACAGTTTTCGCACTCGCAGTCGACCAGGTCAGGCGAGGTTTGGGGCAGCGCCAGCAACGAAAACATTCGAGGCTCTTCTCGAGCCATGACAACATCCATCAACAGCGAAACTCTCAGATTCAGGAGTCTACGGTGGGAGTCCACACCAGTGAACAAAATTTCCGATAGCTAAGTAGACATCAACCTGTTCAACCTGCACCGTTTTTGGGTCACAGCTTGCCGCCGTGAACGCGGCTTGGCTGAGACATCTGATGAGTTTTTTTAGGCTGGAAACATTAGGCTGTTACCCGTACCTGGATGTCTGGATGCAACACCTTGTTGCCTCTGGAAGCATTTAGCCGCCCCTCCAGCGCCCTTGCTGAAACACTGAAACACAGATGATAGATGATATGTTTGACTGCCCTGTGGTGAAACTGCCCGCGGTCTCTGCATAGTCAACGGAGGGCTGCCGTGAAGGGCTGCCAGGCGGTTCTGACTTGCATTTCCCCCATGCCGAGGTTCCGCGCAATCTACGGGAGGTCGTTCCAGCCTGCTCCAACGTCCGTGGCCTCCTCCCCTTGCTTGGGTGCTGTCTCCGTTGCACCATGCCGTCCCCGTAGAGTACTCGACTTCCAAGAAGCTGGCGTTCCCTGCAAGTTGTGCTCTCTTCCTCTTCGTTGGGGACTGGCTGATTGCCAACCACAGCCTGCTGTGGCTCCCATCCCCCCTTTGCCCAAGGATGACATTGGCGATGCTAACTCGTTGAACTGCGCGAAGCGCTCGTCGGCGGGCATCCTCAGACGTCTCCCCCCCGGCGGGAGGTGAAGGGGATGATTGCGTAGCCCAACGTCTTCCCGGGACAAAGGCCTCCTCCGCGTCGATATCAAGCTGAAGTTTTACATCTTGGGCTTTAGTGAGCGTCTCGTCCCCTGGTTGGTCTGGGTCCCATCCTCCAATGATAAGCGCTGGCTTCCGGTTCCCCGCGTCGTCTTCGAGAATGTTGTTCGAGCGCTGTCCATTGCCCCCGTTCTCCAAGTGTTGCAGCCTTGCTTCCAGGTCCACGATGCGATTGGCGAGAACCTGGGTTTCCCCTGCGACAGCCTCAAGTCTCTCCCCCTGTGCTCTTTGTGTTCCTGCTAGGTCTTTGCAGCATCCCAAATGCATCCCGCAGCTTGTCACCTATAGGGCTTTCTCAACATCGTCGACTCTTGAGTTCACTTGGGCCATGGTGCGCTATCTCTCCTGTGAGAATGTGCCGTTCTTGTTGTAGTTGAAGTTGCAAGGCGCGGGCAATGGCTTCCATGGTGACAGTCTCCTCGAGTTCAGTACTTTTCGATCCCCCCCCCCCGGGGAGTTGGCAGCCTGTCTGGGCCCCTCTCCTCTTCCGGGGCTCGGGGCTTGAGCTCTCGCGGCTTGAGCCAAAATGCCTAAGGGGCTCTGGCTCTCTCTCTCTCTCTCCCTCCCTCCTCGCTCTCGGGCGGCAGACACAGCAGCAGAGGAAGTGAGGGCAAAGGAAAGGCACCAACAGGGTCAGCTGATGCTCTAGCGGCATCAGAAACAGCAAAAGGGTCATCACCAATCCCACCAACGACATCGAGTTCACGTTGAGGCACCACGGTCTCGGCATCATCACTGCACGCCGTCACCGTCAACGACCGTAAGGCGTTGTCAGGCCCTCCTGCCGCCGGGCCAAAACCACCTGGAAGACTCATACTTCCTCTCTTTCCGATGGAGGGATATACCTCCTGCAGGGGTCAGGGCTCAGGGACGAACAAGTTTCGAGCCGATACAGCACTTGAGCAGTAGCCGTTACATACATTCATGCATACATCCGTATCATATCATACCATGCCATGCCATGCCGTACAGTACTTTGCCTGGCAGTACCATACATTCACTACCATACATGCATACATACATACGTACGTACATACATACGTACATACATACATTTTTGGCATGCATGCATACAGCATACATACATACATACATACATACATACATACATACATACATGGCGCCCTCCATCTTGCTTCAACAATCCTGCTGAAAGGGGGCTTGTCCTCCTCGATATCATCGGCGACAGGAGGTGATGACCGGAAACCCGTGGCTCGGATAATTTCTCGGCTGTCTGCGCGGCCTTGGCACAGGCAACGATCACACCAGTTTTGTTTTGTTCACAACATTGGGAATGGGACAATTCGATGGGTGCCCTTCGGAGCGAGAACCTTCAGCCTAAGGCCTAAGTTTAGCTCATCCGACACCATCTACACCCGCGAGATCCTGTGAGCATAACCCGTCTTATAGTTGCACCCATGCCCCGAAGCAAGCTTTGGGAGGTGCCTTCAGGTGCCGGCTGCCCATCGAAGCTCTGCACCGATGTTTCACTCCTCAGGCTTCAGGATCTGTCGGCCCAACTTCTCGAGACGACGACACGACTTCTAAGCTCTCACAACTCGGACTTGCCAGATGAGCTCTCCGCCGACTGTTCATGGTTATGATTGCGATCGGGCTTCTCTAGGTTGGTGTGACCCAGACATCGACATAGCTTCTGAGGAGGGGAAGCCTTGCTGAGTTAGGTTGTTTTGCATCGGTGGCCATTTTCAACCCGACACGGATCGCTACTTCGGTTTCCAGGTTGTACCCCGCATGACCCGAGTCTCAGAAAATTCCTCAGGTGCGGAGAGCACCCCGAGAGAAGAGAAACGACGGCAGTGGATTGGGTGGCGGCATGCAGCGCCTGCGGGATCGTACCATGACGACTACTTAAGGTACTACGACGACATCCCGCAACCGGCAGATCCAACTCCCGCGAGAGAAGAGACGAGCGACGGTGAGGCCAGAGGGTGGGGAGATGTGGTGAGGTATCCAACGTGGACGAAAGGATCCTCGCATGATACCTCCAGGAGGTACCCTGCGCAGGAAGAGTCTGTGGAAGAGGAGGCAACCTCCCGCATCCTCTAGCTGACAGGCAATTACCTAACCTGCAAGGCACCTCCGAGCAGAGGCACTGTGGGTCAGGCCAGGAATTCAAGTCAAACTCTGGACCTGGGGCTGATGTGCATCTAAGAATCAGGGGCGAGAATGGCTTGACGGTGGAGCTCCTGGCCAGCGGTGAGAGGTACAACGTATCCAGGCTCCTTGACCTAGCGACCTAGCGACTCAGTACGCAGGGCAGCGCCCGGCATCTGGGTGAGTTGGTGGCAGGCAACCCCAACAGTGCCTAGAACAAGGCTACCCAGCTACTTGCAGCCACATCCTCAACCCAACTGTGCAGCTGCTTGTGCCGAGCAAAGCTTCCGAGCATTTCCGAGCTGCGGGCTGCGCAGTTTCTGCCAAAGGTGTGCTAACTTCATTCCCAGCACCTGGGTCATCACTCGGCACAACTGCCGGTCTTTTGCTAAAGCTCTACACGCTTGACTTCTTTGCAAGGACGGTGCTTTGCATCGCAGCTGGCCGAACTTATCTGTATGTCAAAGGACAAGCTGCAGGTTGACTTCCGGGTAGCAAGCAGGAACAACTCAACTAGCATTCGCCCTCCCAGAAATCGCGATGTCTGACCATTAGGCCTACTCTAGGCTTTCTGAGAAGGCAAGACCTCAAGCAAGACTCCAGCTAGCAGCAGCCAGCAGCTAGCAGCTCGCATGCATGCTAAGATGGCACGGGGATTAACAGTGGAAAGCTGATCCGAGTGCGGCGCTTGGCTTCCCTTTTGGCTGGAAGGAAGGCCCGACCTCGACGACTCGACGTTGTGCTTGGCTCTTCGCAGGGCCATCTGCGGCTGCGGCCCAAGTCGCATCTCCGGTGTCAGACCTGGCTGGTGCAACAAGCCATTGGGCTTACATCATCCACGAGATTCTGTGCACGGCATCTGCCTGCTTTGTCTGCAGTAATGAACGAGCTGCATGTCCGGGTCCTATCTTATAGGCGCCTAGCCTTACTCAGAATATTTGCTAAGTCGAACACGAAAAGCTTCACGATAGCTAGATGTCAAACACTGCAAAGCCTAGCAGAACCTACCTAGAACAAGCCCAGACAAGTAGAAGCCGCTTTCAACAAGTCTCTCAGAAACTGGCACGCTCGCGAAGGACAGGTCTCCGACAGGACGAACCTCCCAGGATGAGTTCTCTGGGCTTCACAGGGCTTTACATCGCTTCATGCCACCGGCGCCACAAGGGGCAGTGGGCCAAATGCTTGGAAAGTCCGTGTCTGTGCACGGACCTCATCCGAAACTGGCTGGGAAGACACAGGCACCTCACTGCAGAAGCTGCAGCCAAGCGCTACCAGCAGCCAGCAGCCACAGATCGGGGCCCTGGCTTCGGTGGTTGATAAGCTGCTCGAGGCACCGCCGATGCCTTCCAGATCAAACGACACTGGAAGCCAGGGACAAGGTCAGGTTGGGCCCTAACCCTCATAGCATTGTGCTTGCTCCGGGCTCTGAGAACAAAGCTCTAAGGCAAAACAACTCCAATTGGCATCGCCCAGCCTGTGAAGGGAACCACGTTCTCGCGGCCGGCGCCCTGATTGCATCTGACGCTGTTTTGATGACTGCCGAAAAGCGCAAGTCTTCACACACAAGTGGCGGAGTTCGCACATGCGAAAGGAAAACATGACTCCCTAAAACATCTGACATAAGCTTAAACAACCCAGAAATCTTCAACTGGATCCACTGAGCGGGCTGCGGCCGGTGGACTGATGGTTGGTCGCTCTGAAATGGAATCCAACCTGCAAGCATGGATCATGGCCGGATATGACCGTGACTACTCTAGTTGCATCACGGGAGGTGCTTCTGAGGACTCTCTTATAATAGTTACGTTGCATTCCACCTAGGGGCAAGTGTGAGGCTCTTTGCAATCGCCGTCTTTCGGAAGCTTCTCGAGGCTCTGCGCCAATGCAGATGGAGCATTCTGCTGACATCACAACTCCGCTTGCGAGTCCCGTGCACAGGTCGAGGTCCGTCGGCAGCCGCCTCCTGCGAGAAGACTTTCGAAAATCCAGCAAAGATTTCGGCAGAACCTGCACGACCAGACTCGAAAACGACAGGCATTGCGGACACCGCGCACTCATGATTTCACCAAAATCCCATGATCCCAAAACCAGTCCGTGGAGCTGGCCGATGGAACCGGTGTCCTTTCAGAATTTTTACAAATCTGTTGGCTTCTGCCCGGCCCTGCGCTTGCACAGATACGATGTTGGAGCATTATCTTTTTTTTTGTTGCTGGCACAAGGGCATCCGGCGGCAGAGGCCAAAGCCATCTGCGGTTGGGTTTTCAACTCTGGCAGTCCCAGACACCTTAAACAAACCGCGCGGCATCGCTCAGTGGCTCCTAGGTCGCAGTGTTGTGCACAGGGCCTCTGGGCTCTGCTCTACACCATCCAAGGGCCACGTCCGAAAAGGTGAACCGGGGTGTGGTGGACGAAATGCCAAATGAGGATGCCGATCCAGCGGTCACGACACTCGTCGATCTTGGTGGTTTCGATGATCTCCTTCTGTAGGGCTGCAGGGATCCACCAGTTCACCATGTAGCCGGAGCCTCCGCGCAAGTCAAGGAAAGAAATCGTGTTAGCTTGGCTGTGGAACCAAGGAACCGAGCCTTTGTTCTCGTTGGCTCCAGCGACAAAGCAAGCATCATGAGGACCCAAGCTCCTGAGATGAGGTGGAGAGAGAAGTACCAAGCCCCCCCATCCACCCTGCCCCTCGACTGCTGCACAAAGCTCGTAGCGAACATGCCGGCACCCCAGGGCCACCAGGTCTTCACGAGATTCTTGTTGTTGTTGGCCTGAGCTCAGGTCTTGCAGGAGAGAAACCTTCGCAAGCGCCCCCAAAGAGGCGAAAACCCACAAACCAGCACAAACTTCAATCAGTCCCTTCCAAGCCACCAGCCGCATGACGTTCAAGCAGGCATGATAGGCCTGCTCCTCACCGGGATAGGAGATCTTCGGGACGGGTGGCATCTCCCATTTTCCGGGCTCCCCGATGCATCCGTAGTTGCAGTCGCCTACCGCGAAGATGGAGCCATCAGCCCAAACACCGCCACCCTCGGAGGGCTTCACCGTGACCTGCAGGTGCTTGTTGAAGTGGATCCAGCCGCCTCCACCAGGGCCCTTGTCGGACAAGGTGTTCTTGGGCATGAAATAGTTTGAGGCCTTCACGCCGATACAGACGTACGTCTCGTCAGCTCCGTTGGGCAGCTCGATCTTCTTCCAGAAGTCTTGGTTCTTCGGGTCATAACCGCAGCTGTAGAACTCCTTGATGCCGCAAGCGTTCATGTACTCCGAGCAATAGTTGGCAGCACTATCCGGCAAAGGTCCCAAGCAGCGCGGCAAGAAGTCGATGATGGTCAACTTGACGTCTGGGAAGAAATGCTCGATCTCCGTGGCCCACTCCACGCCGATGAAGCCGGCACCGACGATGAGAACTGTGGCCTTCTTCTTGTTCCTTAGCTAGAGAATCCGAGCAAGTCTGTCCAGACAGGCTCCACGCACGCACCTGCACAGTGAGAAAGACAGTCGAAGCGACAGAATGGGTTCCAGCCAAATCTTCCAGACAAACGTCAAAATCCGCTCGCTCTGACGGATCTTGGAATCGTAGCTCGACACTAAAACAAGACGAGTCCTCTGATCTCAAGCCCTCAAGGACCGAGATTCAGATCCTGCAGCTTGTGGTACTCCTCCAGAACATGACGGCGGCGGCCCTCCAGGAAGCGCTCGTCGATGTGCTTCCAGTCACTGACGGCCCGCCCTTCCTATGCTCAGGAAGGAGTTTAAGATACTACGACATACTACAATGACAATGTCTCGCCAAAGGCAGAAGTTCAATCTACCCTGAGCGCCCTGTCCCGGTGTCCTCATGCACTGTCGGGAACCAAAGGCTCTCGCCCATGGGCTTGAAGGGCCCAAAATTGCAGCCTTCCCGGTAGCTCTTCGCAAAAAAAAAAGAATCAGAGGCGAAAGGAGGTTCTGTCTTCCGTTTGGCATGAAAAGATCTTCACGAAGCCTTGGCATCTCCCACATTCTCCACAAATTTCAGCATCAAAACACTCGCTTCATGTCATTCGGTCCTCATGCCTAGTCTGGACATGCTACACTGCTACAAGTATGTATGCGCAGGTCAGCCAACGTCAACACAATGCCTGAGCAGATAATGCAGTAGTCAAAGCCAATCTCATCCATATTGTTGGAGAACATGGTCTTAACGATGGCAGTCTTCCGATCGCCGTTCAGCTCCTTCACTTCTCCCCAGATGAACTTCACACCTGAGCTTCGAGCACCAGAGCACAAATCACCCATCTCGGAATCCTATAAACAACAAAGCTGCCCCATTCCGACCAGTCGCCCATCTTGCGCTCGTACACAGGCTGCAAAGTAAAGGTCAAGGAATCCAAGTGAGCTGGCCTCACAAAGGCCCGGAGCACCCCCGGTGTGTACTCGAAGTACTCCTTGCATTTTCACATCGGCATGTTTCCGATCGCAGATGCATCAGACCAGGCTTCTGGACATCGCTTGATGTGACCGGCATGACGCGAGGGAGTTCCGTGTCTGTACCCTACCATCTGTCCTTGGCATCAATCACCGTGACGTAGAACTGTTTCTTCAGCTCCCTGGCGCAAAAATTGCCCGTAAACTGGCCACCTTTGCTGCAGGAGGAAGTCTTTGCAAGTAGTGCAATTTCACAGACTAGAATGAAGATAAAGGTGGCGAGGGCTGCAGCCGTTGTGGGGTAGTGCTGTCCACTCACTCCCATCGTTTCTTGACCTACAGTACCGGCTCCTGCTCTAGGCACCCGGGCATCACACGCATGTCATTCTTTCAGTGCCTGCGTCCAGGGCCTAGCCGGGAACGGCTCGGAAGCAGTCATTCTGGACTGTCATGATCCTTTTCGTTCGCTGCCCGCATCCGCCCGCACCGCATGCCATCTGACTTTCGCATCGTCCTTGTCCACACCTGCTGGCAGGGGCCTGGTCCTGGTTTGCCACCTCCCTTCATTGCGGCTGCTTGGAACGCTGGTTCAAGTCGAAGTGGTCGCCGATGTGCCCTAATTACATGCCGGTGGCATCACGGTGGCTGGTGGTCCTGGTGCTGAAATCGCTGCGGTCCTAGCCTCATCATGCCTCAATTCCCACGTGAAACTCTCTGCTCTCTGAATTCAACCCAAGGCGCCGATGAGGAGGCAACGAGGCTTGGCACCCGGCATTGTCGGAAAAGCAGCGTGAGAGCGGGGGGAGTGAAGAATGCTCACGCTCTGGTTAAACAGCCGCGCCGATTCCAGGCTCACAGTGGCGGTCAAAATCCCAAGAAGCAAAGATGCCGATGTGATGGCTGCACCCGTTGTTTTGCATACAAGCACTTTTGGATTTTGTCTTGCCGAGGCCGTCGCTTCGGGGCAGCTGCCGGCGGCCTCTTCGACAAATCAGGGCGCAAGCATGGAAAGGGAGCTGTGACCTGTTCTTTTGGCTGCGCCAAAATATGCCTGCGCCAGCTAAAAGATCGAAAAACCCACATCACACAGAGCGTCAGAGACGATGATCCGATGGAGGCGGAAGGAATGACTCTTGGATGGAAGTGGACTTAAGTAAGCCAGCTTCCCGTCACAGCTCTGTGTACAGTAGCACGCCCCACTTGCATCACCCATGCAAGAACAAACTGACAAAGGCTCTGGCAGTGGTGCTGCACCCAAAGGCCTTGCAAGGTCACCATCAAGCGGAAAAAGGCTAAACCATCACTTTCAGGTCACGGGCACTGTGTGGCACTGCCAGAGCCGCAGCCCGATGCTTGGGACGTGGCTTTGCAGCCAAGTCAGCAGGTGGCCTGCCAACAGATTGACGGCTTAGTACGCGGAAATGCTCAGCGGAAGGCTTCCTCTCTAAGTGTGGAGCTTCGGTATTGCGGGCGATGGTGCGGGTTGAGCTGGCAACCTTTCCAATGCTTTGCCATGCACATGATCGCCGTACTGGTGCCTGCGGCCCTCATCGCCTGCCCTAGCTTTTGCTCAGGTTGCAACTTTGGCGCAGGAGCAGCACTCGGGAGCCTGCAGGAGGGCAGCTCATGTGCACCCTTTTGTGGCCTGCAGCAAAAACCTGAATTTAACCTCAAGGCCTGCATGACGCCTGGGGCACTTCAGGAGCTGAGGCCACCACTTTGGTGGCTCGGGTGGCCTCATCGACTCAGGCAGAGCTTCTCGAACGTGGCAAGACCGCTCGGGCTCGGGGCCCGCAAGCATCCGCCCTCCTAGAGAGCTTCAACGATACCAACTCTTGCCGAGCAGCGGCCCACCTACAGGCGGCCTGGGCTCGCAAGAGAAAATTAGGTCATGTAGGTCCATGAAACGCTGAAGGCAGGGAAGGTTCTCTCGTCGACGGAAGCTGCTCGAAAGGTCTGGGGGAGGGGGGGGGGGAGTGGGGCGGGAGCGCAGTGTTCGAGCAAAGAAGGGGCGTGTAGCGGGGGTGGAGGGAGAAGGAGGGGGGGGAGGCTCAAGGAGGGGTTTCTTATTATGTTTTCCATCCCCTCCCTATTATAATTTTGGAACCGGGAAGGGGGAAGCGCTAGGGCTGGACGTGGAAGGGCTGGAGGGCGGGGCTGCCTTTATTACTATTTTTCATTTTTTGCAGGCACTATTATTATCTTGAAACCGGGGGCAAAAATAATCATAATGCCCGCGGGAGGGAATGAAGGCCCGCCGGGATCCGTCCATTATTTGTTCGCATCCTTCCTGAATTTCGAAGAGCCGCACTGAATGTTTTTTGAGCGCTGTGGTCGACAGTACTTACAGTAGTGACATCGTTCGATATATGCACTCTTTGCATCTTCTTGCGCTGCAAATTGCAGCAAGGCCTGGCTTGAGGCTGCAGCTTTGGCACTGTTACAGTCGGAGGCCTGGCGATAGCTCAGATGAACAGGAACGGCATCATCGCGCATCTTGGCTCAGGCTGCAGCATGGGAGCCGCTGCAGCCCCAGGGGCCCTGAAGACACGTTTGCAGATTAAATTGCTGAATCTTCCGGGTCACCTATCACACTAATCTCTAATCTCTGGGACTCTCGGTTTCGAGTTGGATTGATCAGAGGCCTCTTCGCTCTAAGCAGCATAAATCTGTGTCATTAGGCGCTGGCTTTGGCACAGTCTGTCCCGGCCTCAAGATCTCAAAGCACATTCCCTGCCCACAAGTATCTGGGAGGTGTGCGCTCTAAGGCCCGGGCTTAGGCACGGGCGCAGCAGGGGTCCTGCAGTGCAGCCGATTTCAAGGGCTTCGGCCCATGAGGTGCCTCGCCTGGCAGGATCACTGGCACCAGTCGATGTGGCCTCGAAGGAGCCAAAAGGAGCCGCATTCCTCTTTCGCCACTCAAGCCAGTGCTTCCGAGATGCAGGAGGCGCTGGGGCCGCTGGGGGTGCAGCCGGTGCAATGGGTGCTTTAGGTGCCGGGGGTGCGTTGGAAGCCGTCTTGGAGGTTGCTGGAGAAGGGGAAGGGGAAGGCTCGGGGTTTGCAGCTTGCGCGGTCGCCTTCGGCGGTGTGGGGGGTCCCGGCAAGCTCGGAAGCGCCGGAGGCTGGGGAGATGGAGACGGAGCCGGCTGAGCAGGCTTTGCCGCCCCAGCCGGCACCACGAAGTTTGCAGTGTCAACAGACCTGACGGACCCCACTCACTGCGCTGCCCAATTAATCAAGCCACTATGGACCCCAGATTTATTCATCCCTTCAGATGTGCTAAGGCCCTCGCGCCGAGGCCGCCCGCTGCAAAGTTGGCTGTGCTATGGCTGCACTTTCTTTGGCAGCAACTGGCACGGGCGGATCTGCAGGAGGGGGCAGTGGCAATGGAGGATCAGCCGAAGACGCGGACGGCCCAGGCTTCGATGTGGCCGCACTGGTAAGGGCCAGTGGTGCAGAGGCAGGCGCCATGGTCAGCATGCTGGGAGTCGCTGTGGCCGGGGTGCTTGCCGGCACAGCTAGCGTTGCTGGCGCTGCTGTTCCAGTTTTCGTCGGCACTTCTTCGGCCGCAGAAGCCGAAGAAGTTGCTGGGGCTACCATGAGGTCTGGGCGGCACCGTTGGAGAAAGGACGCCAGTCCTCCTGCGAAGGCCCGTCGAGTCAGGGCAGTATCACGCTTCTCCGTCGGCTCTTTCTTCTGAAAGCCACCTGACTGGACGGGAGGAGGTTGCTCCACCTTCTCGGCTTCCGCCTTGTCTGGCTTCACCTTCTCTTCCGTCAAAGATGGCAGTTTTGCGCGATCAGCATCCTTTGGGGAGAGCAGCTCGCCCCAAGATAGTTCTATGTTCGAAGGTTCGGTGTTTCTCGGTTTCCGTGGCCGCGTTCTTTCCGTGGCCAAGGACACCATGAAGCGCCGCCTCTCGTCTTCCGTCTGGCATTGAGCAAGTCTCTCCTTGAGCGCTTGCTGATAGCTGGAGGACAAGGCTCCCCAACCGGGCACTTCGAGTTCTAGTTCTGGAGCCGGGGCCGGGCCGGCCGGGGGGGTTTCTGGCAATGTCAGCGGCTCTGGCCGCGACACTTCGGCCTGCTCCTGCGGCTCCTGCGGCTCCGAGGGTTCCGACATTTCCGAGGGCTCCGAGGGCTTCGCCGGCGTTGGCGAGACCAACGCAACTTCGTTGAGGGCTGGGGCCGCCGGTGCAGTTTTAGGACTGGGCGGTTCAGACTTTGGGCTGGGCGGAGGCGCGGCCTTCGCGACCTCTACTGCCGCGGGCACCTGGAACAGAATGTGTAGCAAAAGCAGGAAAAAGTCCCGATTCTTGCTGCCTGCGCAGGCAGCTTCTTGATGGCATCCTCCACACTGGCCACTGTCGCTTTCGACACCTCAGAGAAGCCAAGCCGAAGCTGGAAATGGGAAGCGCAGCCCTAAGCCAGGCTTGAACGGGTTTGAACGGTCTTATTTCAGATCTGCGCTGTCTCCTCTCACGCTCTCCACGCTCTCGGCAGGAGTCCAACAAGTCTCGGCGAGGCCTCTACGGCCATCTGCTGCCGGAACTCCTCGAATCCAGGATATCCAGGACTGCTGTCGTATTTGCTGTCGACCCTTGAGTTCGATTGCCACTGGCCTAGCTGGCTGGCTGCGACATAAAGACTGTGGAAGCTGCAAACCCCGCAACGCCGGACCTCCAGAGCTTTCCGCATTTCTCCCATGTCTGGCGAAGGCACTAGCGACGGGGCAGGAGGTGACGACACCTTCAGAAGCTAAGGTTGTGCGCGCGATGCAGCCGCAGAAGTCCCATATCATGCTGCCGAATCTTTCCGTACTCTGTGTGGGTGATATCACCATATAATTAACGGATCGGATCCTGCAAAGATCCACCAAGTCTTTCTCAATGCCACAGATCACGCAACCAAGAGATGTGACATAGATTACTGACGTTTGGATTGCTGGGTGCTGTGACGAGAAGTGATCGCACATGCAGTAGAGGCTAACTCGTGCTGACTACCTGACAATTCGATGCTTGAGTTTACAAAGTCCCGGCCTTCTCGGCTTGCAGCTTCTCGGAGGCTGCATGAGCTGCTTTCCGAGCAACATCATCGAGGCGATCATCGAGGAGCTTCCTTGCAGATGTATAAACTTCAGATGCAACGCTTCGAATGGCTTCCTTCACTCAAGTGTCAGCTGCACCGAGTTTTGCAGGTGCTGGGTGGAACACGGTGGAACCAAAGCTAGCAAAAAAGGCTCCAACCGGGTTGCTTCCTGCAGGTCGCCGATCCTCGCGAAACTCGGATGCTATACCCCTCTTGTCGGATCTTGCCAAGTCAGGTATACGTGCCTTCGGTCCATGCGCTTCTCCAACTCTGCAGGATCGAAGTCGGCACCTGCTCGTGCAAGGCTACACTGAGCAGAGCCCAGAGTCGCAGGTCGAAAGCCTTTGGATGGTGACTGTGGCGGTGGCTCTGCCTTCCAGGCCAAGCTGCCAACAGCAGTCAAATTCTGCATGCGTGCTTCAGCCCAGAGACCTCTCGCGGAGCAGACTTCAACCTTGATCAAGGTCCGAGCACGCGCAAGATTGCGGAAGTCAGCTTATCGCTCAGGCGTTGACTGCCCGACATCATCACGCACCCGTCCAAGATCTTCTGCGACTTGACCCTGCATGTGCTTCAAGTCCTGGAACTCTCGCCTCAGCAAAGGGCCGAACACCTCAAACACCAAACGAACCCAACAACAAGGCAGAGCCCGCTGACCGGTGGATCTTACAAGAGAGCTAGCATACCAGCATCAGCTTCCAAACCAAGGCATGTTGATTCAGCGAAATCGTCAGCACAAGCACGCATCAGATCGCGCACTCTGAAGCCTCGACAGCGCCTACTGCTTGCTTCCGGACACGCCATTACTCTGCGCTCGAGGTTGTTGTTGCTGTTGAGGTCGTGGCTGTACTTTTTGAAGCTCTGCTTTCAAACTGTCTTCGAGACGGTCGTGGAGCTTCTGTGTTGTCCCTTCCACGACCTGCACGGAATCAGTGATGCGAGATTACAGCCAGGAATCAACAGCTTCTGTCCTCTGTGGAGACCCTGGGCGGCTCCCATGCTTTTGGCCGAGGGCGGCGAGCGGGGCGCTGGTGGCCCGAATTCGAGCGAGCGGAGCTCCATGCTCAAGCGAGGCCAGCACAAATTAAATGAGGAACATGCTGTTTATGATGGTCGTATGGGCTAGCCGAACCTTTCCGGCAGCAGAGTAAGTCATGAGAACACACCTGTTCAGGACATAGGCCAGGCCCGCAGCCAGAACCACAGAGCCCTGAAAGCGCCAAAGCAAGGAGAAAGTCATGAGCTCGAGCAACCCTAAGTGCCATTCAAATCCCGTTGGCAGGGCCACACCACAAACTCGCAGCTCTGCGCCATAAGCAAGCGAAGATGCCCACGCAAGACCATTCGGGAATGAGGTGCCATCTTGGTCTTTGTAGAAGACGGGATGCGGCAAGGCCCCCACTCCTCCTGCAGGACCGGTCCCCCAGAACCAGTTGAAGCTGCTTCGCACCTGTATTACATCACCGGCTCCCCGCATCACTGCATTCACCATGGCATCCACGAGCAGCTGAACGTTGCAACGGTGCTGCGACATCTGCGCTACATCCTGTGAAATTGGCTTTGGCGGATCTCTTCTTCGCACAGTGTCTTGGGTCTGCTGCACTTCAACGAAGACCTTGCCAAGCTCCTGCCGAAAATGTGCCACGTTGCCTCGGATCACAACTTTCAACGCAAAGCCATCGTCAATGCAAAATGCTGGCAAGATCTGACAAGAAGACTTCCTAGGCAAGAGCAGTATCACAATAAGGGAATTGTGCCTAGGTCGCCATTTGGAAGCTGCACTGCTGTATCCGGTGCCAGGAACATCTCAAATGTCTGGCAACCATCTGGCGTGAGCCCTCGGTTGAAGCCGATGCCCTTGTCCTCATCGTGCAAGACTCGTTCAAGCCTGGCCAGCTGAGTCCTATAACAACCTTCCTAACCTGCATCGAAGAGCGCAAGAAAGACTACAGTACCTCATCCCAAACACGGCAAGCCGACAAGGGTAGGCCCTGCAGAGGCTCGCATGTTCTAGTTTGATCGTCCGAGCAGCTCCGTGTGGCCCCAGTCCCCACGGCTGCTTGGTGCTTTTCCATGGATATAGTACCCATGGAAAGGCTCGTCCAGAATGAACCTCACTGCATTTCAGGACCTAGCCGTGACACAGTTTCACCTCATAAACGCGGCAAGATGCACGCAGGAGATTTGCTCTAATAAAGCTGCGCGGATTACCCTGTTGAAACCGAGCAGCAGCGTCTGATGGTAAACTTCAAGTCACAAGTCAGCGTGAACCTACTGGATTTGAAAAGGCACGAAGATAAAGATAAAGCTCACGTTTCCACCTATGGCTACAGTAGACGTTGTCGAGTTGAATCCGTACAGTGCAAGACTCACGATTTTCGATTCTGAGGAGACGTGCTCACAAGTCAGATCTTAAATGCAACACTCGACAAAACATGTTGGGGAAATCAAGTGAAGAAGCACAAAACGAGAAGACTAGTCAAGACGCACTGACACGTTGGCTACCGAGCAGACGTCGACAAAGTCGTTCAGGTCGTGACCCAAGAAAATGCTGCCGACGCGCTGCAGGAGGAACTGCAGCACCAGGACGAAGATCCAGACGCTTACTCCCAGAGCAAACTGCAGGAACGGGTTCAAGTCTGCCGCCAAAGAAGAAAGCTCGCTATCAGTGTGCGTGTTCCATCTCGCCGCACTTACCCAATTGAAGCCGTCCAGCAGTAATACCATGGACAGCCATGTAACTTCAGGAACTGCGCGAGTGGCGGACAGGCGTTCGTTCAATTCGTTGCAAACGAACAGGGTCCTCCATGCAGAGATGCCAGAGTCAGGAATGGCAACTTCCGTGTTGGCATCACTCGGTGGGAAGCCTTGCGCAAAGCCTCCGCTCAGCAAGGGAGCGCCAACCAACTGACTTCCAGGTGCCGGCGGTGCCGGTGGAGCAGGACCGGGTGGCCCCCCGGGTGGCGGCGGAGGCGGAGGCTGAGACGGCTGGGCGGGCGCCATGAGAGTCTCCCGCTCACCGCGAGGCTTTTCCCAGTCAACCAAAAAGAAGAACACACGAAGGTGCTTCCACAACCCGAAGCTGACTGTAAAGACGGCCAAGCAAAAGACAAGAACCAGCATGACATCGTGAGCTTCGTATTGCCCACCTCCCAGAGCCGATGGCAGTAAGAGGAGCGGTACGTTCTGCCCCTTGAACATGATTAACCAGAAGAGCGTCATGAAGTACTGGAACCAAAAGAGCAACGACGCAGTCGTCGAGCACAGCACAAGCACTTGCAGGACGAGTCTTGGAGCGAAAAGGTGTGGGTCGGGATAAACTGGCACATTCGGATACCGCTGAGAGAGGAGACACAGTCTGAATGTCACCAACCCCAATAGAGACAACAATAGGAGCACGAAAAGGACCGTGACGGCTGTCCAGTAGCCAGATGTATCCATTGTGTACTCTGCAGCAAAACTGCCTGGAAGAGTGGTGTCCTCCTGCAGGTTGTCAGTTCTCTTCTCGGCATAAGCAATGCTCACGACCGGCACATATACCTGGCCATCTCCCTCAGGGCGCACTCGCACCTGCACTGCCAGATGGGCTGCCCAGCGGACCACCCGCAGGTATCCGGTTTTCGACAAATAGGCCTGGCCCGGCCCTCCGGGGCCGCTCTCGCGCCCAGACACGGCATCACAGAGCAAAAAGCGACGGACCAAGACGTTCTCGCCTAAGTCGTTCTCCTTCAGATTGGGGCGTTGCCCGTTCTGGAC